TGTCGTTAATCCCTGTCCATTGCCTTATGTTTCGAAGCCAGGACATTTTCTTGCGTCCCATTCCTCTCTTGCCTTCCATTTTACCCTCGATTATAAGTTGGAGGAACTGATATTTTTCATTTCGCATGATGTGACCTAGATACGCCGTTTTCCTTTTCTTGATGGTTTCGAAAAGTTGGCGTTCTTGGTTTATTCTTTTAAGGACATCTATATTTGTGATTTTCGGTGTCCATGGTATTTTTAGGATACGGCGATAAAGCCACATTTCGAAAGCTTCTGATCTGTTTATATCCCTCGTTTTGAGTGTCCAGCCCTCTACGCCATATAGCAGTACTGACCATACGTAGCACTTAGTAAACCTTAGTCTTAGTTGAAGATCAAACTCTGAACAAGTCCCATTTTACTTCCCTGTCCGATTCCCAGTCTTTAAAAAGCCACGATCCCAGGTATTTAACCTAATACCAACGTTAGGAAGGATTAACTCTGGAATTTTGAAGAAGTTTATCGAGGAAAATAGGATAAACAATCGAGGAAAACAGGAAAACCAAAAAGGATATTTTGTGCTGAAGGTTTTCTATAGATAATATATTTACACTAAAAATTGCATTGGAAAAGAATATCGCGGAATACAGAAACACATGTAGTTTTAACAAATCTTGAAAAAGCATAATCGGTCTAGAATTAAAATAGGAAATGGTGTCTCCCGTAAATTTTTAATAATTTTGACAGCTGCTGTGACGTATTTACTTGTAATTAAATATTTGATTATAATCAAGTTTTAATTAGCGTTCGAAAAACCGGCCCTTAATCTAACAATTTTTTAATTTATAAATTATAAATTTGAAAACAATCCTGATTGGAAATGGAAACTTGCTTCATAAATAACAAGCTACTATAGATCTATATAAAAGAGACCAGCTTACTTTTAAATAGATACACAGATGCAACTGGACACAATATTTAACTGTTGGGTTTTGTGTGTGTTCACTTTCAAAGCTGTCTTTTACACGAAAGCTTGCATATAATACTAATATCACAACATATTTTTTCGCACTTAAATAGTCCAATACATTGTGCATGATTTAAATATTTACAAATCCCTCCGTGATTTTCTCATACGTTCAATAATATTGAATTTATTGATATTAATTTTTTTTAATGATGAGTGTATATTTTTGACAAACACATTTTTGTTCGTATGTCTGGTACAATAATTAGCACATTAGAGCTAATTGTTTTTTTGGGTATTCCTAAGCAAGGTCCTACATTAATTAACACATCAGAGGTAATGAATTTTTTAAAGTACAATACGTACAATACGTACGATGTCTGGTACAATAATTAGCACATTAGAGCTAATCGTTTTTTTGGGTATTCCTAAGCAAGGTCCTACATTAATTAACACATCAGAGGTAATGAATTTTTTAAAGTATTTTTACGTATCGCTTTTTACGTTTTTACGTTTACGAAGTTTGAGCATTTTATATCTTTTCATTATGAGTATTTTTTCACTTGGTTAAAACATTTTATTCTCCATTCGCTTAGCTAGGGCACATTTTTACAGACTCATTGTCGGAAACCTACAACACCACAATTCCTACTTCTCAGTATTATTAGCCCAAGTATACTACTATTGCAGACTTCTTTCTTTGAAAAAAAGAAGAATTATTCTAAATAGTGGAAGTGTATACTAAACCCTTCAAAGTTTCCCTGTATATTTAAAATATAATATTTGAATTGTTACTAAATATTTGTAGATATTATTCGCGTTGTTTATTTAATTTAATATAGTTTTATTGTTTTATCATATTTGTTTAATTCTTTTGTTAGTTCTATTCAGTTAATTAGTTAGTTATATTTTAAATTTTATTATTATGGATAGTCAAAGTTTTCCATTTGTTCCATCAGCTAATGCGTTGGTAAGTTTTTCTTAATAAATATGATAAAATGTTTTTTTAAAGTTAATATTTTTAGATGAGTAAGGATGCTGTTCCTAGATTACAAGGTAATGAAAGTGCACAAAGGTTTATTCAAAATGCCTACCATTTTTTTAAATTATTTGCCGAATGAAAACCCTGTTGAGGTAAGTTGATCATTAAAATGTATTTATCAAATTATGTATATGTTACAATTAATAACAAAAACATTTCAGTTGACATCCAAATGTCTGAAAGTCTCAGAAAAAAGTGTGCGGAAATATAAAGATGGGCCTAATACAACCCTCGCATTAAAGAAGCAAAATCGCAAAAGAAAATTAACGACTGACTTAAATCATAGTATCAAAAATCAAATTCGTTTATAAATTTATCGGATGTATGAAGAAAGTAAGTGTTTAATATATATAAAAATATATATTTTATAAAAAAAAGTTAGGCTAATTTAGTTTATATCGTTAAGTTGCGCCAAATATATGCAACCAACTTAAAGTGTTTAAATTCGTTATTATTAATTAATTCTGTTAGAGTAAATATATTTTGTTTTGTGTTGCTAATTAAACCTATATTATTAGTAATTAAGTAATTACATAAACTGCCAACTATCTGAATTTTGAATATATTTTAGTTTGTTAGATTATGTAGTTGTTAGGGCTTGGTATATTGACACTCTTTCCGAGAAAATTTTCAGCTTGGATATGTAAACTACCTAAAAATTAATAATTGTTTTAGAGTTGCCTCTTACAATATCTAGTCTGCTGAAGTTTTTAAGAGACAAATTTATTTATGAAGGAGGAAAAACAAGCCTCTTTCTGATCTTGAAAGAAATAGGATTCATATACAAAATAGACAGTCCACAAAAACATTTCATGGAAGTTCCTCACGTAGTTGAGATGAGGCATAATTGTTTAAGGATTTACCATGAAAATGACCAAAAAGGCGTTTACAAAAAGCCCTTAATTTTTTTAGACGAAACATGGATATTTTCTTCTGGATCAGTTAGAAGGTCTTGGCAGGATGGGACAAATAAAGGAATAAGAAAAAGAACTGCACAACATAAGGAACTTGCTGTGTCTTATTTAACCTCACTTTGACTTCTTAATTTTGTAGAATTTATTCCCACTATTTTTATTTTATACAATAAATAATTTTATTATTTATTATCAATACATTATATGGTGTAAATAAATAAATATTGATTGTCGGTAATTCGCAAAGTTCTATTTTATTTACTTTTGTTTACATTAATAGTGACTAAGAGCACGCATGCTTGGTTGTATAGTAATTTCCAGCCACTTCGAGTCTGTCAAAAAGTAACTAACTTCGCAAAAAAATAATTACTAAAATCACTAGACAGTTCGGACTGGGAATAGCGAAACGGGTATAACTATATACCGTGATAAGACCGTCACAAGTACTTGATACTAGAAACTAGAACGTCCGCAACGAAACAGAAAACACCTAATGCTCATCGAAAAACATAATATGAAGTCCACAAGGAATCTAAGTTCCTGTAGTTGGCTGTATACCATATATCAAAAAATTTTATTAAAAATCCTTTATAAAAGGTATGTAATTTAAAAACCCGATCGCGCTATATCACAAAACGTTTTCAGAATCCATATTCCACCATCAGTGTCTAGGTATACATGTATGTAGCCACTAAATATGTGGGTAAAAACCCCTTAAAAATTGTTTGTTTAAGTTTACATTATGTGTTATTAAAAAGTATGAGGTTAAAGTTACCAGAGGATTTGGTAACATGGCGACGTATGACTCCACGTGAAGTTGCTGGTCCTGAGACGGTGTGTCTACGAGGACTTGATGAAAGCCACTTTCATCAACTTTCCGCAACTTTTTTTAAGTACCTTTAGATGACTAATGCATCTGAAGATTGGGAATGTAGCGGCAGAATCAATAATTATAATAAAGGTATTTCCAGAAGGCAAAAATCCCGTAACATTATACCCTTCTATTAAATACATTAAACAAGCCTGGAAAGAGACAAAGATTTCTCACAAATAGTATTGTTTTATTTAATTTGTTCGTTTTAAATTTAGCTAATCACTTAGTTGACATTGTACCGTTTAATTTCTGAATAAACTAGTAAGAGAAATTATCGATTTTATATTTTTTTATATGCATTAAATGATAAGCTTTTGTCTTCATTTACCCATCTTATTTTATATGTAAGTTAAATTGGAAAAAATTGCAGTCTTCACTTACCCCGTACATTGGGGCAAATGAGGACATTTGACTTAAGATTTAAAAAAATTATAGAATACTTGCTTTACACAAATATATGTCGAAATTCATAATTTTCTTGAAGGATTATCTCTCCTCGGACTCATAAAAATATACGAAAAATTGAATCAAACTAATTGTTTCCAAAATATCTCAATATATTTGAAATTGAGGTAAGTGTCCCCTATTATCATTATCACTACAGTACAAAATAGTGCTGAAGATTTATATGTGAGAATTATTGATATTAAGAAAGCTTTTGACGGATTACTTAGAGCTGAAATTTGGAAATTAAGAGACAGTAAACTGTATCATCCAAGATAGAAAAACAACAAAGAAAGAAAGAGTGAGGCAAAAAGAAGGTCTAAGTTCCTTGTCGTTCATGGGTACTTGAACTGAATTTACAGCAAAATATATATGTTAAGTGAATTTCGAAAGTAATATTCATATCGTCAAAAAAGACAAGAAGAGGAAGGTGTAAAGAAATTTTTAGACATTACTAAACAGTATGAAGCGAAAGAAATGGCGAAAAACAGGAAGGAGTGGAAATATTTTGTAAAAGGTATATGGAAATAATTTATACCCCTACCCCCTACACGGGTCCAAAAAGTCCAAAAAATATAGTTTTTTCTATTTTTAATATATATTATATTCTATTTTTAAAATTTTTTCATTATTTTGCCGCTTTTACAACGAACAGTTATATTATTTAGTAAAACTTGTTGCAAAAACATCGAATGCATCCATTATATTTTAAAAATATATCATTAATTGTGGAAAAAAATAAAGTATACTTGTATAACACAATTAAAATAAACTTACCTGATATTTTCAACCGAATTGTTTTAGCACCAACGTCTTTGATACTGAATGAAGAATTGATGTCCCAGATAAGTTATTTTACTTTCATTCGTTTTTGGTAGGGATATTCATTTGAAGGACTTATTAACGTATTTCTTAATAATATCGTTTTAATAATGAGTAGCGATTATACTTAAAACAAGAAATGTTTATTGTTCCGACAAACGGATCAACAACATTTATTGAGACTGTCTAGATTCAACAAATTACTTATAATTGCCGTTAATTACATCATACCATCATACAATATTATTTGTAGTTATATTCAGAAAGGGCGTTAATACAATCAATACATACAACAACGCTACACATTATAGTCGACGACTACTTTGATTAATTTACTCTTTCTTGGATGTGAGAATGTTGTTTTAGGTTTTTTGAAACCTAAAACATAATCTTCAAAAAATGACAAGATTGATTATATTAGGATGGTTTAAAACATTTGTAATGACATGTAGGATGGCAGAGGTTCCCCAAATGACGACAGGTGGTCTTCTTTTGGTTTACCTATTACCTGTGGGAGGTTGTGCTATAGGCTAGAGCGGATATACGAAGAGGGAAAATGGGGAAATCCCCCCAACTTCTTCTAGTGCTTCTTCTAGTCTCCACTAATGGAGATTGACTATAACCATTGCGAATTCGTCTCTATCTTCTGCTTTTCTTAAGAGCATCTGTGTGTTTAACCCGGTTCAGCTGCGAATGTTTTTCAGCCAGGATATTTGTCGTCTATACCAGGACCACTTTTTCCTTCTTCATTATTCTTCATAATCAGCTGCAGCAATTCGTAACTTATCATTTCTAAGTATGTGCCCCAAAATATGCGGTTTTTCGCCTTTTAATGGTGGTTAAAAGTTCTCTGTCTGTTCCCATTCTGTGAATCACCATTTCGTTCGTAATATGATCGATCCATGGTATCTTCAAAAATTCTTCTAAAAAGCCACATCTCAAAAATTAAAAGTTTTCTCATTAAGTCAACATTAACAGTCCAGGCTTCGATACCATAAAGAAGAATAGAGTGAATATAACATTTTACTATTCGATATTGGATTTGCAGATTGAGTATTTGCTTACTCAGAAATTCTCCTCATCTTCAAAAAGGCTGCTCTTAATTGCTCTATTTTTGAGCGAATTTTTGACTTCGGATTCAGATCTTCCGTAATCCAGACTCCTAAGTGTAATATATTATGTTAAAGGCAAAAAATAAGAAGACCGATGACAGACAGAGGTCATCCGGTACCGCCATTCTGGCCAGGGTCATGTCATGTAACTTGTGTAGCTTCTTGATTGCTATAATAAAGATTCTGTATGAACCTCTTGTTTAATATATATATATATATATATATATATATATATATATATATATATATATATATATATATATATATATTATATATATATATATATATGACCAAAGGAATCAAAACATGGTGTCAGGTGTGGGGTTGCTAGTTTGCCCGAATTTTGAGTACGTAGAAGTGTTAATTAAGTTTGAAACCACGAGGAAAGAGTGAGGTTAGAAGCCCGCCAATCCAAAGATTTTCTGGTTGTTAGAGATTTTAACAATAATAATGGAATTTAAACCGCCTAGTCCATTATTTGAGCATCAAAGTCCAGCTAGTTATTGGCTTTTGTGGAAACAGAAGTTTAGAATTTACCTTACCGCAAGTGGGAAGAGTGCTTCAACAGAAGAAGTGAAAATTGCAAAAAAATTTCATTATTTTATTTATGGGTATAAAACAGTGGTTCAGAGTGATCACAAACCTTTGATATCAATTATTGAGAAAGATCTTAATACAGTCAGTGCTAGATTGCAAAGAATGTTACTTAAATTATTAAAGTATGATATCAACTTTGTTTATTTGCCAGGTAGGGATAGGGACATGGTAATTGCAGACACATTGAGGATGATCCAGAAATGGAATATGCCATTCATGCCATATCTAAGGATATTCCTATGAGTGAGAATAAGAAAATAATATTTCAAAGGGAAATTGATAATGATGAAACATTAAGAAAAATAAAAGGATACTGTATTGAATCTTGGCCTGTTAGTGATAAAATTTTGAACAAGGAATTAAAGTTTTACTATAAATTAGGAGAAAAGATTTATTTATCTAATAATTTATTATTTTTGGAATATAAAGTTAGTTATTGTTCCAAATTCACTAAGGAAAGAAATGTTGGAATTGGTTCATAAAGCACATTTTGGTATTTCAAAAACTAAAGCCAAAGCTAGACAATTACTATATTGGCCCTATTTAAGTAGAGATATAGAGGATATGATTTCAAAGTGTGAAAAATGTCAAATATTTCAAAGATCTAATCAAAAAGAGCCATTAATTAATCATTTAATACCTTGTAGACCGTGGCAATATTTGTTTTCAGATTTCTTTCAATACGATAGTAAGTAATAACTATTTACTGATTGTGGATTCCTACTCGAAGTGGTTGGAAGTAACTGAAACTAAAAGTAAAACATCTCAAGAGGTAATTAATTTTTGCAAAGAAAAATTTGTTCAATTCGGTATCACGGAAAAATTTTATGCAGATAATATGCCATATAATTCTGAGAATTTTAAAAAGTTTGCTCAAGATTGGGATTTTGAAGCTATTTTTAGCAGTCCGTACCATTCCCAATCCAACAGACTTGCTGAAAAATATGTAGGAATAACTAAACAAATGTTACAAAAGTCTAAATCTACTAAAGATTTGCCTATTCTACTTATGGAATACCGTAACACCCCATTAACAAATCTAGACTATTCTCCATCCCAACTATTTTTGCACAGAATGTTAAAAACTTGGATACCTATGTCTAATGAAAATCTAATTCCAAAAGTTTTAGATTCCAGTATTATACAGGAAAAATTGAAACATAATCAAAATGTTCAAAAAAAAAATATTTTGACCGAAATGCAAAAGAATTAGATAAACTTAATAAAGGGGATAACATCTTAATTCAGAAAGGAAAAGTAAGGGAAAGGGGAGTAATAAGAGACATAGTTAATGATAGGTCTTATATTGTTCAGGATTCAAAAGGTACAGAATGTAGACGAAATAGAAAGTTTCTAAATAAAACAAATTTATCGTGTAACAAAGACTTTTTATTGTATGATCTTCATTTGAATTTATTTAAAAATGAAAATATCTTACTTGACAATAACGAAGTACACAATGTTAGTACCACAACTGGTCATGGTAGATATGATATCCCAACTGAATCTGATATTAAAATTGTGAGTCAGAATGATAGTGATATCTGTGAAAATCATAGTGACCATGAAGGTCTTACTAATATTGAGATTGAGATGTTTGAAAATGTTAATTTAAATAATGACGTTATTGTTGATTTACCTAGATTTAAAAATAACACTTGCATTTCAGATAACTTACTGAATCTAAGAGATGAGGAAGAAGGTAACACTATCATTAAAACAAATAAGAGATCTCACAAGCCTCCTACATGTTTAAAGGACTATGTGTTAAATTGAAATTGTGGCTACTTGTTTGTATTTTAGTATTTAGTTAGTATTAATATTAATATTTTGTTAGTATTTTAGTTTGTATTTGTATTTTAGTTGAATTTGTATTTTAGTTTTGTACTATCTAAAAAAAAAGGAACGTGTAATATATTATGTTAAAGGCAAAAAAGAAGAAGACCAATGACAGACAGAGGTCATCCGGTACCGCCATTCCGGCCAGGGTCATGTCATGTAACTTGTGTAGCTTCTTGATTGCTATAATAAAGATTCTGTATGAACCTCTTGTTTAATATATATATATATATATTATATATATATATATATATATATATATATATATATATATATATATATATATATATATATATATATGACCAAAGGAATCAAAACACTAAGTATTTCATTTTTCTCCACTTGCTGAATATCTTCATTTTTTATCTGGATCCTTGTAATCACTGTGCTCCTTTTACTGATAACTATGGTTTTTGTTTTCTTTATGTTAATTGTTTTAAGGTACTCGTCACAGTAGTCAGTTCTTTCAAAAATCAATAAAATAATTTTCCACTAATGTGTAACCAAATGGAAAACACATTTTAATATATGGATTACGATCGATATACATATTTCTTTGTTAAAACAGACCAGTTTTGATAACAAAGTAGTTACTAGGAAATCAATTCCAAGTAATACAAATATGAAAACGTAATTCACAATAATTTTTTAACAAAGAACATAGACAGGACATTTCGTAAGATTAATTATACTACGTAGTGTTACCCATAATTAGCGGAAAAAGCAGAAAATCCTACAATTTTTAAATTGATAACAGGGTAAATGACTAAGTACACTTTTATTTTTTTTGTTTTATATAATTACATATTTGGTACAATCGTAAAATGGAAAATTAATAATTTGCTTGTAAATTTGTAAGCCAGGACGATAAAAAATATAAGAAACTAAAACGCAAATAAAAAAGTTTAATAAAAATGAAATCAAAAAAACTATAACATCGAAGTAAAAAACTTCTGTTGTCTAGGTGGGATGGTTCAACATCCACCGACACCGAACACTACCAGTGAGACACAACAATCCCAGTTTCATCATCGATAATAAACAAACTATGCCCTGAAGAGGTGCTAGACACCTAAAACAGGACATTCATATGTCCACTGAAGACAACAACCAACCCAGAGAACCACGTAACTCAATTAGAATGGTAAGAGGAACTATCTATCGAAAGTGATGATAGTCATCAAAACAAAAGCAATAAAGGTGTTGCATAGAGTATCTATCGGCATTACCGGCAATTTTTATCAGATACCGAGCCGTTACTATACTCGCCTTCTTTCTCATATGCCGACTCGCTTTCATCCTAGTGAACTTACTTTACTTTATCGTGTCTGGAAATGTCATTCATAAAATTTGGGCACAGTATCGGGGTACGTAGGTTCCATCTTTGTTGGCGAGCCACAAATCTTCGAGAATACATCGATGAGGACAGTTTCTGCATGTAAGTTAGAAGATGTTCCATATTCTGTGTTTCTCCACAGTCACAGTTCACATCATCTTGGTCGATTTTTTCCCTTTTCGAGATGTTTGATTTTACTGATGCGACCTCTGTTCTTATCCTATTTATAGTTTTCCACGGTTTAAAGTCTAGGGACTGGCAGGTCCATTGAACCTGAGGAAGAGGAAAATACTCCTGCAGTGTTCCAAAAACGCTTTTCCTAGATTTTATTTCTAATTTGGGGTTTTCGCTTGGTTTCTTTTGCGCGAAGGTGGAAAGCGCAGACATGGGTTTTAGAGGGATTGGGTCTCAGGAAATTCTGAAGGTAGTCGCGGAGATGGCACTTAAAGAAGAAGAAGTAGTCTTTTTAAAGGTATTTGCTGGAAATAAAACATTAAAATTTATAATGTGTATATTATATATTTAAATTATAACATATTTTGTAGACAAAAAATAATATGATGTACCAATTGATAAAATACTTGTTTTAATTATTTCTTTGTTTTATATTTAATATAATTATTTACACAACATTTATAACTGCTGTTGGTTTTCTAGCCCAAAAAGTGAGTGCCTCTTTGACAACGGTAACCCTGGAAAAAAATCGTTATATTAGATTATTAGAAACATATTTTATGATTTTTTTGTAATATCGTCAACGATCAGTATGAATATATCAACGCACTTCGAGAGTTTTCTTTTCTTAGACCTGTTGTTTTCGTCTTATATTTTAAATATATTATAATTGTATCAGAGTATCGGCTACTTTGGCAACGGAATTTATGTGAATGGTTTATTTAAGTATTAATGACAGTATACTTAATTAAAAAATTAAATTAAAATATTGCAGAAATTTTACATTGTTTTACACGATTGACAACAGAAACAAGAAGAAAAAACTGTTAAACAAATTCTGATAAAATACATAATGCAAGTACTTACACGACAGTATATTTCCCTGGTGTCCTAGGTGCTTTCCATTTGAATGTTTTGTCCTTTTTAGTAAAAGAGTTTTTGTGAGTTAGAGCATTCTGAAATTAAATATTTCAATTAATACGCATGCAATGGATTTTTACATACAAACATTTTGTACAATTTTCCAAAGTTTTTGATTGTGGCAAACCAACTTTTCTTTTTAGGTATTCCATAAAAAAAATCAAGGGGAGACAAAACTGGCAACCGAGAGGGCTACTCAATGCTGCTTCCACCTCAATTCAGTGCTCTAGAAAATACTTCTCTAATTACTGAAGAACAATCAAATCATAATCGGAACGAGCAAGCTCTTGTTAAAATATCAGATGATCTTTATCATACTGTTCTTCATTTCTTCAAGAGATACAGAAGTTCATATTGTTCGGGGTGTTTCATAATGTGACCATGTTATTCCAGATGACGTCAATTTATTAGATTGACTATTTGCGTTTTTTGGTTCAGCCGTCTAAAGTCCTCCTTATTTCTAACTGTGTCGACCCAGCGTATTCTTAGGAGTCGTCTATATACCCAAATCTCAAGCTTCTAAGCGTTCAAGCATAGTCTCACTTAGAATTCACGTCTCCCATCACGTCACGTCAATGGTAGAAAAGGCAACTTTGAATGGCCTCCTCGGTCACCAGATTCGTCACCCCTTGATGTTTTTTATGGGGCTACCGAAAAAGCGTTAGGTGGAATTTAATTGTAATAAAGTTACTTTGGGTGAAAGTATCGGGAGAAGAGTTTTCCTTTAAACAAAAATCAACGGCTTTCTGCGTTTTTCTTAAATGCTCCTTTGTTTGCTTGTCGTGTGGAAAATATGTATAGAGAATAGAAATATCAAAGAATTAATATTTATTATATTCTTTTGTCAATTTTTCACGAGATTTTTTAGTGATATTTACTTATTGTCAATACGACTGTTTTTATTTCTACTCTACTGTTTTAAATATCTAATAAAAATAAAAATTAAATATTTAGATATATATGGGTAATCCCAGAATTTTATAAATAATCTAGATCGATGGAATAACCAAGTTCTATTAATATGCAATCATATTAAAAACAACTTATATGAAGAAAAACAGGTACCAATTCTAAAATAAAGGTAATAATTTTAAATTGCATAATTAATATACATGGAGCGGCAAATTGAGGATTTATTTTCTTGCAAAAAATACTCTCACATTTAAATTTAAAAAAAAGTATACAATTGTTAAAATCATTTCTTTCTATAGATAAAAAAGAGTAGAATAGGGAAAGCCATTGCAATTGGACGGAAGAAAAGGAGGATAATGAAAAAGATGAATTCTATAACACCTTAGACAAAGAATATGATCGATGTCTACGTCAAACTTTGCAAGTACTAAAAATATGATAGTAGGAGGAACAAGATTTCCCCATAAAATGATACACAAAGGAACATGGAAATCCCCTGATAACGAAGCCATTAACCAGATAGATCACATCCTGATAGATGCAAGGCACTCTTCCGATCTCATAGACGTTAGAAGCTACCGATGTCCAAACATTGACAGTGACCACTATCTTGTAATGGCAAAAATCAGAGGAAGAATATCAAACCTAAAGAAAGATAAACACACGAAACAAGACAGAATTAATGTTGATAATCTGCGCATTGAAACCGTTGAGACAGAGTATAGGAGACAAGGAAATGGAGAGCCTGGAGGTGGGGAAAAATGTGGAGGAACTGTGGACAAAATGTAAAAACATAATAACTGAGAAAGCAACAAAAATATTGGGGAAAACCAAACCAGTTAAAGAAAACGAATGGTTTGACAAGGAGTGCCAAGAAGCAACAGATAACAAAAACAGGGCATACCTAAAGACAAATCAAGCTGGATGCACAAGAAGAGCAAAGGAAGAATACCGGACCCTAAGAAGAGAAGAAAAACGATTACATAAAAGAAAAAAAAGACAATTTGGGCAAAAGCAGTTGGAAAGCACAGAATGGCTAAGAAATCAAAATGAAACTCGAAAGTTCTACAGAAATCTAAACAAAATGCGCAAAGAGTATAAGAGAAGAATAAGGAGCTGTAAGGATGTAGAAGAAAGAAAAGAAAAAGAAAGAATCCTTTCAACCCAAACGAAAGACCACCTACCATCGAAAACGTTGCCCAAGCCATTAAAAAGCTTAAAAATAATAAATCACCAGCCTTCCAGCCTAAATCACATGCCTTATGAATGGTCTCAAGGTGTGATATGCCCGTTACATAAAAAAGGTGACCAGCTCCAATGTGAAAACTATAGAGGTATAACCCTGTTAACAACTGCTTACAAAATGCTAGCAAATATTCTCTACGAAAGGCTGCAAGTTTACACAGTGGGCATAGTTTGGTAAATATCAAGCTGGATTCACTCCAGAAAAATCAACAATTGACCAGATTCATTCAATAAGACAGATTCTCGAGAAACATTAGAATTCAATATTGAAACCTATCACCTATTCGTCGACTTCAAGGCCGCATACGACAGTGTCAAGAGAACAGTGCTATACCAATCAATGCATGAGTTTGGTATACCAGAGAAAGTTATCCGACTAACGAGAATGACAATGTCTAACTTAGAAGCCACTGTTAGAATACAGGGCGAGAATTCTAGATCCATTGAGATAAAGGATGGACTCAGACAAGGGGACGCTCTGGATTGCCTCCTATTTAATATTGCCTTAGAAAAGGCAAACTGCTTTGTTTCATTTTTTATTCTTCTATAGGTGTCTCGAGATTCTGGAGTATTTGATGTAGTGTACTTCGTGTAGGCCACTTGTTTCTCTTTACATTTCTCTTGTATTTCTTTTCTGACCCATGGGGTATTGTTATTGTTTCTTTTGTTCAGTATGACTTTGCGTTTTTCTAGAGCTTCTGTTGCTGCTTCTTCAATGTTGTTTTTAATTTTCTCCCAGCTCGCGTTTATATCTTCGATGTCGTCCACTTGTTTCAGCTGTATCTTCTGTGCCAGCCTCCTTTGGTACATTTGTCTTGTAGAGTCGTTTCACAGTGATTTTACATTAAATTTTTCATTGGTGATTTCTTGTAGAAAATGTTTTGGTGTTATTTTTATGCTTAGTTTTGCTAGTACTAGTTTGTGTTTACTCCCTGCGTCTGCTAAAAGGGGACAGTCTCATGCGAAGCTTTTAAAAAATCAATTTTTTTATAAATCGCTTCCATTTACATTCAAAAACTCCCTCCTAAAATTTTAAAAAGAAATTCCCACTAGAATATAAGTTATAGTTATTTTATTAACGTCATCTACGCACGTATGAAAACCGGTTTCTCTCCGCGCGGCGAGCGCGAGGCTCCAGCTGTTCTTTCTTTTGTATATACGTTGGGTATGTATTAGTGTTTAATTTTTATACAGTATGTACATATGTATAACGTTTGGCGTTTACTATACACATTTGGATTTGGAATTTTAAATCCGGAACATAGGATTTTTTTACAAATACTAAGATTCTCTGCGTTGCAATTAACCAGTGTAAATTTATTTGTTCCACTGGATTACTTCTCCTCAGAGTTTATAATAGCGTATATGGCACGCCGATAGTAGCGTATATCCATCGAGCAAAAAGATAAAAGAGGGAATCTAATCGTTATGAAAAGGAGACCAAAAAAGTGGCCTCTGATGGCGGACATATCCGGAAATGCAAAGGCGTTAAATTTAAATTTTCCAACACTTATTAACAATAGCTACAAAATATTTTTCAGACGGGAAAGTTTTAATTAAATATTAACTATAATAGTCTAAAAAGTGACACAATTGGTAAAAGATTTCAATATAAATAAAATTTCATGTGACAGTTGGGACAAACAATAACATAACCTAACTAAATTTGACTTCTTAAACAAGGAAAGAGACTGTCTACCTTGTCTAAAGTGGCCTCTCAAGATGGCACTTCCTGTCTATCAATATGTTTACCCCCACTACCTTTACATTCCCTCTTTTGTCTTATTGCTCGATGCGTATATGGCACGCCGACAGTGTTGCTCCGTCTACCGATTTTTCCTGAAAGTCCGGTTTTGTGCAGATAATAAATAATGTTTTATTAACATCAATTTTGTTTGTGTTCATTAGGTATTATTTGAGTTATAAAATTTATACTTAAATACATTTATTATTCCAAATATTGTTTATAATTTCAAATTAAAAAGAGTGTAATATAATTATTTTATTTTTAAATTCCTTTTTATTTTTTATTTTAGAAATCAACTTTTTTTCAAGCCGTTTTGGCAATAAAACATAACCATTTTTTTAGTTATAAAATATTTTGATATCTACATTTATAAATAAGTAGTACGTTTTCGTTGAATTGACATGCGATCTAGGTGTGTTCCGTTTTTACACTTACACTGGCAGCGTCGCGGCGTGAATTGAGACTCCAGTCGAACATGAATAAATGAATTAATTATAAAACATCGCGACGTTGTATTGAAATTTACAGCTTTACAAAGCCTTTTACAACAACTGTTGGATGAAGAGGGTCCTCAATATTCTCCAGGAATGGCCGATTAAACGTGAGTATAAAGTTATCAGCCTTTTATTCACGAAAATTATGTAAAAAAAACTTTAAATGCTTTTTTCTCAAAAGTAACATTTTCAAACTGGTCAGACACTTTTCTCCGAACCTTCTTAACCGATTTTAAAAAACCAAAAATTTTTCGAATGTACATACAAAATACTAGATGATAAACCTTTAAAATATTTAAAAACCACCCCCCCCTTTTATTATATATGGGTAAATCCACCGAAAAATATAGCGATTTTTCGACTTTTTTGAAAAAAATTCGTTATAAACTCTTCAAAATAATACAATTTGCATATTTTAAAGGTTTATCATCTAGTTTTGAGTCTCACGAATACAACCCATTTTGAATTTTTTGAATATCTGTTACAGGTGACCCACAAAGTGCCTTACCACAAAAAACGCACTTTTTACTACACGCCATCTACAGGACACCAATGAAGTTAAAATCGCTATTAAATTTTTTTTTATGTACTTCAAGACTTACTTAATCATCTCCAAAGGAATTATGTTAATAAATATTATAGTTTTTTTTTCTTTTTTAATTTTAAAATGTGTCTTTTTTTTAATCGCATGAGACTGTCCCCTTAGTTCGGATATTCAAAAATCCGCTTTGGGTGAATTTTTCTATTAGTGACTATAAAATCAATCATATATTTGTGATCCCTGGAGTTTTCAAATGTATATTTATACTGAAGCTTATGGTCAAAAAATGTATTATTGATTTCTCAGTTTACATTAATATATTAATGAAATTATGTAAATTGACCTTCTTCAGAATTGTAAGACTTAAGTCTCCTTTGTATATGAGATACAGCCTTGAAAATACGCTAGTCAACGAAGTGAAAGAAATTTTACCATTCTATATTTTTTAAATTAATTACCTAGTCATTAAAAGTTTATGCATTTGCTAAAATGTCATATACTTATAAGAATCACTGCCAATATTTATTACAAGATCATGAGCAAAACATTTTATTTAACTTTGCATAAATAAATGAGCTTAAACTTGAATAATTTAGTAATATTTATAATAACTTTCACTTCGAATATTGATAGAAACACCGACAAATAAGTACACCTTAATTTTTCCAATTTTCCTTCCTCGCCAACTTTTTTATTCTATGAGAAATCGTTCTTAATAGGTACCGAAGTGAAAATCGAAACGTCAAAATAAACGTCTTTAAACTGAAATTGTGGTTAATTTCCATTGAGGATAGTAAATAAATAAAAATTATTACATTATAAATCGATCTGAGCAAGTAGCAATCACCAAATAGTTAGAGCCAAATTAGAGATAAAACTTGGAATATAGACACAGATAAACTAAAATCTAATACAAAACAATATTAGTTCAAACCCGCGAACGTATTAAATCTAGATAAACTTAGCTTAAACGAAATCAATGAAGTCATAACAAAAGAATTATTAAATGCAAGTTCAGAAGTGGCAACCGCTAACAGAAAACGAAAATCCAAAATAAGTGTAGGATCACAAAATATGCTGAAACAAAGAAAAGATCTTTTGAGACAACAAAAAAGACGCTGCAGAATTTAAGGAACTTAATCGGGTAATAAGGAAACAGATAAAAGAGGACATTAAAAACATCAAGAAGACCGTATAGAACAAGTCATAGAGAAAGACCGAAGTCTCAAATGCACCAAACCGAAACTAGGAAAGAAAAACATAATAACCATTAAAAATGAACAAGGACAACTACAAAAGTAAATCTGATATAGCAAATTCAATTGAAAAGTTCTACGGCGATCTGTATCGTTTCAGAAACGGAGAGATAACAAATGTTAACTCAGAAGTGATGCCCGAAATAAGCCACGAATAAATAGAAAGAGCAGTAAAAGAAATAAAAAGAAATAAAACTCCTGAAAGCGATGGAATCCTAGCAGAAATTCTAAAGGGAGGAGGAGAAGAAGCCATCACATATCTAAAAATACTATTTAGTAAAATGTCTATTCGAAGGCAACATACTCTATGAAATGAAATACTGCTAAAACAATACCAATACACAAAAAGGGAGACACCACAGACCTGAAAAATTATCGACCAATTTCACTTCTTTACAACATCTTTACAAAGATTATTACAAACCGGTTAAAATTAAATTTGACGGATATCAACCAGTAGAACAAGCCGGATTTAGAAAAGGGTACAGTACCTGTGACCATCCAGACCATCTATATACTTTGAAAATCCTAATAGAAAGGACTAACCAATACAATCTCGAATTATTTCTGGCTTTTATAGATTATGAAAAATCTTTTGATAGTGTAGAACTGTGGGCAATAGAAGAAGCATTAGTCAACAACCGGATCGACTCCAGATACAGAATATTAATACATAATATTTACGAACAATCTGAAATGATAGTGACGTTGGGTAATGGAATCGAAACAAGACCAGTAAAAATCAACCAAGGTGTACAAGGAGACACAATATCTCCAAAATTATTATTTACAGCTGCCCTAGAAGATATCTTTAAGTCAATAGACTGAGAAAATAAGGGAATCCCTATTAACGAAAGATAATTAAACCATCTTAGATACGCAGATGATGTAGTTGTAGTACTAATAGCCGACACGTGGAATGCACTGAATACGATGATTGAGGAGCTACACACAGAACCCCTAAAAAAGAACTGAAAGTAAATTTTAGCAAAACTAAACTAATGTCAAACAAAGATGACAATCCTATGATAAACATCCAAGAGATAGAGATAGAACATATGGATGAATATTCATATCTGGGTCAAAATGTCACAGTAAGCAAAGAAAATCAGACTACCAATATAAGCAGACGTATAAAAATGGGATGAGCAGCCTTCGAAACTCTCTCATACGTACTTAAAAATAAAAAAATACCTCAAAGACTGCGAACCAAAGTGTTTAATTCCTGTATCCTACCTGTACTTACATATGGAGCTCAAACCAGAACATTCACTAAAATAAACATGGAGAAGATCAAAAAAACTCAGAGAGCTATGGAACGACAGATGCTGGGTATCTCACTCAAAGACCATAAAACCAATGAAGACATTTCGTAATAGAACAAAAGTAAAAGATGCTGTCGAACAGGCAGCTAAACTAAAATGAGCTGGACATAACGAACGTCTTAAAGATGGCCGATGGAATAAAGAAATCGGAAATTGGCTGCCATATGAAGCCAAAAGACCGCGAGGAAGACCGCAAAGGCGCTGGAACGATATTAAAAGAACAGCAGGACCAATGTGGAAACATCTTACAAAGAACAGATATGAATGGCGAGTACAAACAACAGATATGAATCGATAAAAATCCCATGAGCCCCATAACTATAAGTAGTTGATGCTACAGAAAAAATAATAATAAATCAATCCTATGCTGTTTTTTGAGCTTGAGTTGATGGCATGTAATCAAATCAACAATGCTCAACTAAATCCCATGAAGACCTTTAATAAAATACTTTTCGTGAAAGTTCAAAACAAATAACGGTAACAGAGAAATAAGAAAGTAGGTCACGAAATTGTAGGCGACATTAGAACAAAACAACATATGAAATGGCCATGTATAGAGGATGGAGAAAGATAGACTATCAAAACAACTATTAAATTGGATACCGCCAGGATGCGGTAATAGCATCTTAGACGAAGACCCATGAATAGAGGTAGATAGCGACTGCCACAAAAATTCTAATCAAGATTTACATACTCTTACCTTTTTTGATCCATGGCAGTCAATTGTTTTCACGAAACGATCATCGCCGGAGACGATGAAGGTGCCTGCTGCTCTCTTACCATTCCTAACTTCCACTAGTACGCCTTTATACGATCCTTGAATTGAAATTTCGACTATTTCACCTCCTTTTACTTCGCTTCGATCAACGGTAACGTTGTAGGGTAGTTTAGAGGTCTTAGGACCTACTAAATGGACAGGGGTCATATCGTCGCATACTGTTTGAGGTGCTCCACCGGAAAAGGCGTCGCTGCTGTAGATTATTGAGAGAACGATGGAAAAAATGATGATTCTGGCCATGCTAAACACAAAAAATTGTTTGTTCAAGCTTAATCCAATACCCCGTGTTTGAAAATAGTTTTAATATGTGGAATACAAATATTACTACAAAACTAAAACAAAAGAATATTTTTTCTATAAAAACTATTTTTGTATTACCGCTTATGATGGAGACATCAAACTGCTGATAATTTTATCACCCGTTATACAAATGGACGATCACTAGGAAATAACCAAAATAGTTTAGAGATAGCACCTGTTTGTTTTCCCCTTACTTAGATTGCAATTGTCAATCTTGTACGGATCTGAGCAACAGCTCTTCAGGTTTCTAATATAAGTCGTTTTTTATTTCAAAGCTTGTATGTATTTTATTGCCCCATCGCTATTATTTAGCTTGAAGAACCAATATATAAAATTCGGTTTCCTTTATTCGTGGTTTTTGATCGACGATAGGGAATAATATGCAATCTATTGTTGTAGCTTAAAAAAATAATTAATTGGTAGCTCAAAATAAGTGGAGTTGAACGAAATTTCACAAAACGTTGACTAACTTGTTAACTAAGATACAAAGATCAACAGACTTCGCCCCATTTCAGTGTCAATCAGAATTTATAATTTGTGCCAAATATAAATCACTAAATAAACAATACAACACATGTTGCTCTTGTTCTTTGTGCTATAATACGTGTATACCATGCCTTATGTACAGTGGTGCACTTAGAATTTTCCTGTGGAGGGGGAGGTTTTTTTTAGGCTACCTCCATTTTGAGTCCTTAAAATTTGTGACTAACACCGTCTGAAAATAGTGCATTAGAGAGGGGGGAGTGGGGTTTTTAACCCCCAAAACCCCATCCCTGGATGCGCCACTGGTCGTGTATCAAATTTTTTGTTATAAAAACAAAATCTTCCAGCCTGTAGAATATGTAGAGCCAGGTTTATAGGAGAACTGCGAAAAATGTATAGTTCTCATAAATGAAAACTAAGAAGATAATTTTGTTACAATAATCTTTTTCTTACATTTTTCATTTTAGACAAATTATATGTTTGAGCTTTACTCATCATTTATATGTTCAATATTAGGTTTCTTAACTAAAATTCGTAACATTCTTTCAATTAGTGTCAACAATTCAGTGGCGTATATCTTTCTTTTTGCCGCTTGTCGTAAGATTCAAGATTTACATCCATATGTCAGTATTGGGAATATTAAACAATTGATCAACCTCATTTTTCAAGTTCGTGAAATTTGAGATTCCTTCCATATTTTGGCCATTTTTCTTACAGCCACTTTTGCTAGATCATATTTAAGTGTTATTTCTTCTTGAAGGTACTCTGCGTTTGTGATAAGTGATCCCAGATATTAGTATGAGCTCACAACCTCCAATCGGTCAGTTGTGGTTATCTGTGGATGATTGTTATGGGTTGTCTATCCACTAACTTAACTTGCTAATTACTCTTACTACTTCTTCTTGATTTTCAGATAACCTGATGTGCTTTCCTGTACAATGTAACAGAAGCTAAATAAATTTTAGCAAAATTTAGCAGAGTTTTGCAAAAGTTATGTTAGGTGTACTATATCTAAGCTGAATTTGGTTCTTGAGTAACTTATTAGTCGAACATATTGTAACAAGAAACCTAATTTCGTCGTACCCCAACGGTTGCATTGCATTGCCTTAGAATGATGACGCGTAGACCACAATTTTCAAGATGAGGATCTGCAGAATATACTATGCGACCAGGGAGGCGATTTTCTAGAAAATTCTGGAACCCTGTATTTGTATATATAAGCCACGCTGATATTAGTTAGTTGAGTTGATAAGATATGATCGTAATATAAGCTAATAAATAAATATATTTACATAAATTAGAAACAAGTTACAGTGGTGTCAGGGTGTGAGCTAATTATTAATTTAAAAATAAATTAAGTAGTGACAACCTGACATTTTGAAAAGTATTGTTCGTCGGGAACATCCGCGTAGTTCGATTGTAATCTTTGTAAGAAAGACCGTTTAAAAAGTGCGTGTGTGCCTGACCAAAGATGCATCTTGCAGAACTATCAGTAAAACAATTATATAAACAACTGGAAGAACGGGATGAAGACTGCAGCGGGTCCAAAAAGATGCTTCAAGAACGACTGAGGGATGTTCTCAACAAGAATGGAGATGATCCAGATACATTCCTCATGTTTTATACAGAAACAATGAGAAAAGATTAAATGAAACTTCTCGAATTATTAAAGAAGCAGCTAGACAAATGTTTGTAGAAGATTCGCTGAGACTTCCCAAATAATTAAAGAAGTATATTAAGAGAACAATGAGAAATTTGAAGAAGTTTCAAACAATTAGACAGCATGATAACCAATACGAACGTACTACCATTAGTTAAGGCAGTAGTTTTAGATCCTGTACTGAAAGAAGAATCACCGAGAGATGAAACAGTATACATTCAAATTGCCACCATTTGATGTGAAGTCTTCTTGGTCCATAAACCTTAGACAATTTGAAGCTATTGCGACAACAAATCATTGGATCGAACAAGAAAAGGCAGTTTCCTTGACTGCTACTTTATGAGGTGATGCTGCGGATATCCTAAGATCGATTTCTGAAGTTTAAGAAAAATGGTAACAAACCTTGTTCATTCGACTAGAAAAACGCTATGGAGATGCCCATCTACAAGAAGTCTACAAAGTTCAAATAAGAAATAAAATTCAACGAGTAAGTGAGAATTCGCAAGAATTTGAAGCAGATATTGCTCGAATATCGCGGTTGGCTTATCCGGAGGCACCAGATAACATATTGGAAAAAATTGCTGTAGATATTTTCGTCAATGGGTTAAGAGACAGCGAACTACAGAAAGATTTACGATTAGCTAAACTAAAAGTTTTAGATGAAGCACTCGCCATTGCCTTTTAACAGCTAGTCAAGCTTCACGAAGTTATCGAGTACGAACCTCTGAAGAAGACGACGAATAACACGATTAACTTCTGGAAGAAATCGTACGGAAATAGTTCATAACACTGTTGGACATAGGTTACATTCGCCATAAATTTCAAAAAAATAATACAACAGTCAGAAAGCTAGAACAGATCGAACACTGGGCTGGAAAAGTTGATTCAAATGCTAATGCTCTGTCAAGACGCCCATGCAGTGCAAATTGTAATCATGGTCGTAAAAGTAGTCCAAAAGTCAAGTCCCACTGGAGCCGATGGTACTAAAAGATGATCTTAAACATTCTGAGAACGATGATGGTACAGAATCTAAGCTTCAGTTGATTGTATCTAAAAGTAAAGTGTCTAAATTATTAAGGTAGCTGATGAGAATACTAGAAAGAGAGGTGGCTCTCCGATAGATGCAAGGAAATAGAAGATCTGGATAAAAAGTACGATAGCTTTAATTTACACAAAAAAATCAAAGAAATGACAGGTTCTAGAAAGCGTACAAAAACGAATATCCTTAAAAATGATAAAGGGGATATTATTACTGATATGAAGGAGAGATTATGAATTACATTCAACAACTATTTAATGATGAAAGAGAAGAACTGTCATTAGAAATCACCGAGGATACTGGACCACCAATATTAAGAGAAGAAGTCATCTATGCTATCAAAAACACAAAAGGGGGTAAAGCTACTGGACCAGATGAGGTGCCCATCGAATTATTAAAACTCATCGATGAAGATGTTATTGATGTAATGGTTGAACTCTTTAATCTAATATATCAGACTGCCACAACCCCCAGACAATGGCTGCAATCAACCTTTGTAGCAATTCCCAAAAAACCAAGTTCAACAACTTGCTCAGACCACAGAACAATAGCTTTAATGAGTCACACACTTAAAACATTTTTGAAAATAATTCACAGCAGAATTGTTAAAACTTTTGAATATGAGATTAGTGACACACAATTTGGCTTTAGAAATGGTATGAGTACAAGAGATGCGTTGTTCGGCTTGAATGTGCTGGCTCAGAGATGCATGGACATGAATCAGGATATGTACTTATGTTTTGTAGACTTTGAAAAGGCATTTGATAAAGTTCAACATAAAAAGCTTGTAGATATATTAAAAAGCAAAAATATTGACAGTCGTGATCTGAAAATTATATCTAATTTATATTGGAATCAAACTGCCAAGGTAAGAGTTGACAGCCAGTACACCGAAAATATCAAAATACAGAGAGGAGTTCGCCAGGGTTGCGTGCTGTCCCCACTACTTTTCAATGTCTACAGTGAAGCGGTATTTCAAGAAGCGCTCTCAGACTCAATAGAAGGTATATCTATCAATGGGGAAGTTTTGAATAACTTACGTTTTGCAGACGATATAGTAATAATTACGGATAACAACAATGATTTACAGAACCTAATGCAACGCCTTAATGAACGCTGTCATGAGTACGGACTGAAGATAAATTTAAAGAAAACTAAATGCATGATCATGACTAAATCTGCACATGCAAATATCCAATTGACTATTGAAGATATTGCAATTGAGAATGTTAATAACTATAAATATTTAGGAACATAGATAACATCAGATGTAGACCAAACCAAAGAAATTAAGACACGTATTGAAATAGCACGTACATCATTTATTAAACTTAAAAAGTTTCTTTGTTGTCGGGATATAAGGTTAGAACTACGCCTGAGAATGCTTCGATGTTACGTGTTCTCTACTCTTCTTTATGGTCTGCAAGCTTGGACACTTAAACAAGTTCATCTGAATAAGCTGGCCGCCTTTGAATTTTGGTGTTACAGAAGAATCCTACGAATATCATGGATTCAAAGAATGTCAAACATGGAAGTAACTAGAAGGATAGGAAATGAGGCGGAAATAATATTAACTATTAAAAGACGAAAACTTGAGTACTTGGGACATGTGATGAGAGGACAAAAATACGCATTATTACAACTTATTATGCAGGGCAAAATCCGAGGAAAGCGAAATGTGGGAAGACGAAGAATATCCTGGCTTAAGAGCTTAAGGGAATGGTTTGAATGCAGTAGTGCAGAAACTTTTTAGAGCGGC